GGTTTAAAATGTTAGGATCCAGTTAGGGAAGCAGCCGCCTCAGGATCACGTGGCCTGAGCACAGTGTGTTTGGTGCCCAATAGAACATGTGATCGAAATTTTGAGCCCCTCTGCCTAAGAAAAAGTTTATGGGAAAAAAATGGCTTTTGAAATCTTTTTCCTGTTTGTCCATGGGGCAAGCCATCTTAAATTTTTTAAGTGCCATTTGCTTGGTATATTTTTTTCCATCCTTTCACTTTGAATTTGTTATGAGGCAGGCTGATTTAAATTCTTTGACTGTTTCAGTACTCACACAGTTGGTTTGGCCTGAGCCCGAGTGCCCCGAGGCAAGACAACAAAACGGATAAGGAAGCTTACCTGCTCTCTTACAGCTGAATTCAATGTGTGTGAAAATCCCTGCACGATAGAACTTTGGGGATTCACTGTTTCTAGGGGTGTTGTCCAACATAGAAAAGGAAAGGGAGTGAAACACCAAGTCCTAGTGGAACATTCCTGAGACCTAAAGATCATGGGGAAATCCTAACTAGTCCAGAGCACAACCCTGACTGCAAATTTCAGAGAATTGGTGATCGCTCTAAGAGCATTTAGCTGGTCATTGGGTAACCGGGTTTTGCATTAGAGAGATGGATAGGAGGTCTTTTTCCACATCTGGGTGGGCAGTCAGAGGACTAGGAGCCTTCTGCTAACATTAGAGAGTGGCCCTGCTCAGAAAGCCTCCATTGTTCTTCATCTTTAAAGGTCCCATGCGAAGACTCAGACCTCAAAAGTAAAAGGAGGAAAAGGGGGGCTGCCGATCCTCAGAGTGGGATGGCCAAGGCAAAGATGCTGCTACCCTCTTGGAGAGGGTGCACTCACAAACTTCGCACGTTCCAGGATCCCCACGTTCAGGCACCAGATGTGGGTCTCTCTTCCCTCATGGGTCATTGGCCACCGATCTGCTAGGACAAAGGGAGCAGAAGTGATGAACAGGGTCAGGACGGCCAGTGAGCACCATGGAAAAGAACTTGTGGGAGTCAGCTTCAGTGAAACAGCTCATTTATTCAGTGGGGGTCAGGGAAAAATATAGGGTGGAGGTGGCAGCCAAAGGTTCACCTGATAGGTGTTCACGGTATGCTTCATTTGAATGTGGCAGGAGGACCCTATCATCTGGCTATAGTGCAATGCCTAATTATCCAGAAAAATCCTGAGGGCAGTTTTTGCAGGTGACTGTGTCAAAGGTGATGTTCCAAAAAAGGCCAGGCATCTGTGCTTGGAGACACTTTCCAAGAGAGCAGGGGGCCCCTGCTAAGAAAGGAGTCCTCCATTTAGCACTGAGCTCCATTGTGACCTTAACAGCAGGGTTCCCCAACACAAAATAAAAGATAATGCTGCTGTGAACATTTATGTACATGTTTCTCCATGGATGTGTTTTCAGTTTTTTGGGATGTGAATCCAAATGTGGAATTGTTGGGTCATATGGGGAGCTCAGCATTTAACTTTCAGAGAACGCAGGGGATTGTTCTGCAAAGAGGCTACATAATTTTACTATCTACTATTCTGATCAACACTGTATGATTTCAAGTTTTACCACATCATCAAAAGTATTATTTTCCTTTTCAGAAAAAATTTATAACCCTCCTTGTGTATGTGATGTAGCATTTCATGACGATTTGGATTTGCCTTTTCCTAATGACTACTGTTGGTTATGGAACATATTTCAATGCTTGCTGCCTTTTTTTTTCCTTTTTCCTTTAGGAATACCTCTTCAAAGACTGTTTATTGTGAAATTCACTTTATGGTAAGTTCACATCACCCTTTATATATTCAGGATACTAGAATCTTACCAAATACATATGTGTGAAGGTTTATTCTGTGGATTTTTAAAATGTGGTTTCTTTTTATTCTTGAAGATTCTTCATCCTGAGAAGTCTGACTCCTCTGTCATAGGCTTGTCACTGCCAAGTGATCCAAAGGTTGTAAGGAAATGCTCTTCCATCTCTTCTCAGCTTTTAGTTTGCATTCCTGTCTTTGATTCATTCTGGGTGACTTTTGCATGGAGGCCAAGGTGGGTGTCTAGGTTTATTCTGATACTATCCACTTGTTCTAGTAGCATTTATTCAAAGATTATATATTCTGCATTGAATTGTCTTTAGACTATTAATTGAAAGTCAACTCGCATTAAAGATATGGATTTACTTCAGGACACTTATTTCTAGTCCCTTGATTTCTAAGCATGATTTTATATCAGTACTGTCTTGATTATGAAAGCATTATAGACATTTTGAAAATTGAAATATGAATCCTCTTTGTTCTTCTTCATTGAGATTGCTTCTTAGGTTCCTTGTAAGTAATTCCATATTTATTTAAGGACCAGCTTACCAATATCTGCCTAAAATGCCTGCCAAAGTTTTTCTGATTTTTTTTGTAAGAACATATATAGCCTAAAAATTATCCCTTTATTTTAAATGTAAAGTCTAGTACAGTTGCAGATATTTACGTTGTTATAGAACAGATTTCCTGAACTTCACCATGCAACTCTGAGGTTCTTTGTTAATTGACTTGCCTGCTTCCCATCTCGCTGATTCCTGATAATCAGCTTTTCAGTCTGTTTTTATGAACATGAACACTTTCCATGCAGGGCTGGCTGTTTTAGATGGATTCATAGCAGTGCGAATTTAACATCTATAGATCTGGAGCCACATGATATTTGAACTGTCTTTGGTCTCACCCATGATATTTGTCACTGTGTACATGGGTGAGACCATAGATAGTTCACATGAAGTCAGCTTTACAATCAGGTCTTACAAGGTGCCACAGTAGTCTGTGGATGGTGTTTTGGAGGAGCTCAAACCCCATTTTCCTTCATGCAGGGGTGCTGGTTTTCATTGTCATCATGGGCTGTTCATTTACACAGATTTCATGGAGCTGGGAACAGGGCAACATAAAATGCCTCAAAGCTTTCTGTTTTTAGTGAGATTCAGGTGTGTGTCTTACATAAATGTTCCTCTGGTTCTTGTTGGTTCCGGTGCTCTGACAGTTAATTTGGGGCATTTTTTTTTATTGTTTTGCAAACTTTTTGAGATTTTCATCTATCATTTTAGCCTGTAAGTCTCTGTAAAAATATATTTTGTTAGTAAATATGTTCACTACCCATAGCATAGGACTCAATAAGGAAAAGCTCAAAGAGGAACCTAGGGCTTTGTATGTGGTCCAAACTACCCAAACACTGGTCATTAGGAATCACATCTAACAGAAATCAATCTGTTTGTTAGTGTCAGCCTGTACGCATTCTGTAGCCTTCTTTCTATCTACATCTGGGGTAGAGTCCTTGCATCTTGCAGAATTCCAGTACCAGCGTGCATCTGTATGGGCCAGACACACACAACATCTGGAATGACCCAGTGTGAGGTGAGTCCACTAATGAAGATCACTGAGTTTTGTGGGCAATGTTGTGTGTGTTCTTTATAAATTTAGTCACTAGTAAGCAGGAATTTCTAGGAATAAGAACTGTATCATATAATCCATTATGGGTATATTTTGAGTCTTCCATTTTTTATATAACATCATACTGTCTGGTAACTTATTTGAAATATTCTTTAAAATATAAAAACAGATAACTTCATAAACACTAAATTTAGCAACATGCTTAATTTATAAAACATTGTCCAAGATATCTGCTTGTTTTGACAATGGAAGTAAAAATGGAAGTCATTATATTATGATTTATTTAAACATGCTAGAGAGGATACACAAATATGTTTTTAGACAGTGTTATTTTCATATAATAAATTCAGATATGCCAAGTATTTAGAATTAGTAAAATAGTACTATGAATGATTCTGGTCTGAGGTATTTTACAAATACCACTGCTACAGTGTAAGAACAAAATGCGAATTTCTGAAAGCATCTTGTATTTTTCTTTTCAATATTTTTGATTTGTTAATGCAGCTTTAAAGAACTGAAAGCATCCAATTTAATCTTGATCAATTGTTGCATTCCAAATATTGAGAACTTGGAAGCTTCTCTTTGGAAGGAAACAATGGTACATCCCATTTCCCATCCTCTTCAACTTCAGCTATTGCTTGATCAAAACATTTGCAAACTTCTCTAAGATTAAGGCTGACTTTTACAATGTCTGGATGGCTTTCAAGTGCATCTGATACAATGCTGGATAGCTGGAAAACAGTGACTTTTATAAACAGTACAAAGTCATTTCTCAATTCTTTATATCATCTAACTTTTCCCATTATAGATTTGTGGTATTTTGTTATTCACCTCGAGGTCAACCCAGGACAAGAAGTTTCCAGACTGCATTGGCCTAGGAATTGAGAATCTGAGGAGCAATATGACATTTTCACCACTGCATGCAAAGAAAACACAGTGCTCAACTTGGGCTGCTCTTCCAGACTTTCTCTTCTGAACCTCAACATTTTCTGGCTTTCAAATTTATAGTTTAGAACTCCCAGCCAATGAGGAGCATATTATTTTGAAAGGAGAAAAGTTGCTTCAAGTTGTAGGAAAAAAAGAGTAATTAGAGTGGACTGAATTGCATGAAAATTTATTTTTTTCCTCATCTCAGAGGCTTACCAACTAATTGACTAGAAAATATAGCTATTGGCTTTTATTTCTTTGATACAGGGTCTTGTAGCCCCAACTGGTCTGGAATTCACAATGTAGATCAGACTGCAATCTCACAGAGATCTTCCTGTCTCGCCTCCCAAGTGCTGAGGTTAAAGGCATGTGCCACAACACCTGGTGTGAAAGCATGGCTATTTCATGCAGTGCCTTCAGCCATGAAACCTGTGTAATAATGAAGAAGAGTAAGATTTGTGACAAGTGGGACCTCATTAAAATAAAAGGCTTCTGTACAGCAAAGGAAACAACCAATGGAGTGAAGAGGAAGCCCAGAGTGGGAAAAAATCATCAACAGCTATACATCTGACAGAGGATTACTATCCAGAATATACAAAGAACTCAAAACAACAAAGAACCAAGAAAACAAATGACCCAATTAAAAGATGAACTATGGATCTGAACACAGTTCTCGAAAGAAGAAAAAAATGGTTAAGAAACACATTAAAAGTGATCAATATCCTTAGCAATTAGGGAAATGCAAATCACAACCACTTTAGGATTCCACAGTACCCAGGTGAGAATGACTAAGATCAAGAAAACAAATAACACGAAATGCTGGTGATGAGGTGGAGAAGGGGGACCACTGCTGGTGTGATTGCGAACTGGTACAACTACGACGGACAGCGGTGTGGAGAACTCTTAAAAAACTAAAAACGAATCCACCATACGATCCACTTCTACCACTCCTTCACCTATACCTAAAGGACTCAGCATCCTACTGCAGAGATACTTGCTTAGTCATGTTTATCGCTGCTCTTTCATGATAGCTAAGAAATGGAAACAACCTAAATTTCCCTCAAATGAAAAATGGATGTCAAAAATGTGATACATTTACGGAATGCAGCTCTACTCGACAGTAAAAAAAAGATGAAATCATGAAATTACAGGTAAACGGATGGAGCTAGAAACTATTTTACTAAGTGAAGTAACAGACTCAGATGAAGAAATGATATATGTTCTCTGTCATTTATGGATCTTAGCACCAAATCCATATATGTGACTATATAACCAGATGTAACTGCAGGAGCTGGAAAAATGGAGTGGAAAGAACGGTGGAGGTGAAGGGAAAGAAGGAGCCCGAGAGATAGGTATAGTAGGAGACAGGTGTTACCAAGGGAGAAGTGGGGATATTTAACTGGGAAGGGAGGAGGGAGGTTTATACAAGGAACCATAGAGATAAAAGGGAAGAAGGTGCTTGAGAGAGGGAGGGTAATAGGAGGCAGGTATTATCAAGGAGGAAATAGGGGAAATGGGAGCTCTTTAACTGGGGGGGAGAAGGGATGGTTAGACAGGGTGGAGAGATAAATATTAATAGATGGTGTGAAAAACCAGAGGGAAACATATTAGTTCAAAAGTACACTGAAAACTACAAATACAATATCTGTGTATGAGTTCATATGTGTAAGTGAAGGCTATATAGCAAGAAGCACAGTAGCAGACAGTATCAGACCTCCCTTTGAATTATTGGTTAAGGTAGTCCAAGAGACTCCCAAAATAACGCAGACTATTGCTACAGCTTTTGATTGCCTCCCAGAACTTGAAAGGAAGATCCTATTTCTGAAGACAGGACATACTTCAGGCATAGGACTTGGAGTGATAGAGCTGGGACTGACCTGGAAGCCTCCTTCCTGAAAACCAGCTTTCATAATTTCAGGGAATACTATGAAAGTTGCTAAGGGAGGAAATTAATCAATGGTTCAACCCCAGCTTTAAAACCTAATAACCACAATGACCAGCACAACAAACTATCTCTATTGGTGCAGTAGGCATTTTTATTATCGGAGTAATCAACAACTAATTGGTTGTATTGTACTAAATGCACAAAAATTCAATAAAATACATATTGAAAAAAAAGGAATAAGATTTTGTCTCTGAATACCAGTTTAAATAGATTGTCTATGGAGAAGCATCCTAAGATGGAGCCCCTCATAGTAGAAAATCCACAATTTTCTCACAAATTCAGAATAGTCCTTTATAAATGGTCAACTGACATTCCTATCATTTTAATTGTAAATATATTACATAAATGTGCTGGTAAGTTAGCTTCATCTGACAAAAGGAGCGAGGAAACATCATCTGTGACTCTTGGTGTTACAAAACACCCTTTCATAGCTGCTTTAGGTGTCCCATGCAGAGACGTGAAGAAGTGCACCTGCTGCTGGAGTCAAGGTGAGGGAGCCTTGGGACTGTGGTCCGTCTATCTCCACTGTCGTTTTTCAAAGCCAAATCCTTGTATAATCTTTCTGTTCTATGGTGGTCTGAGAACACTTGGAGTTCCCTTGAACCTGCCAACTTAAAGCTAGATTCTGTTG